TTTGCCACTGTTGCCTACTTCTGTATCAAAATCATCTTGTCCTACTTGTATAATTTCATAGAAGAATTTAACATCTGGTAGGACAGGGTCCTACTCACAAACTAGCTTTAAAAGGTCATCTAATCTAGCTAACATATCTTTAAGCAAGTTTCAAAAAACTGCATACTTTAAGAAATAATATTCCAGAAATATGTCAAGGAGATAATAATCCTAAAATAGAACTCTTCTGTCTCAACCAATTATTAAGAAGAGGACAAACCAATAATACTAGGCTGAGGATATTAACAGACAATTTACAAACCAGGGAACATAATTATCCAATTAAAGCATGTATAACATTAACAGTAGTCAAGGAAATAAAAACTAAAGCAGAAACTGAGATACTGCATTTCACAAATCAGATCATCAAGCTCACAGCTTTGAAGAAAATAACAAGAACCAATACTGCTTTTGTAGGATAACAGATCACAACCTTTCAGGACAGTACTTTCATAGTATCACTTAATTTGACTGCCCTTTGCTCCCTAACACTGTCACTCTTAGGAATGCAGTCAGTTAAAACAAAACCCTGAAGCTGGATGCAATAGTGCATGAAGAGAGAGCGAAGTATTTGGAGAGCTAAGGCAACAGGATCACAAGTTTGAGGCCAGCAAAGGCCATAGAGATCCTGTCTCTAGGAAAAACAAAGCACTCCAGTACACAAGAAATATAGGTAAGCATAATTATTGCGTATTTATTGCATAATCCTACAGAATTGTAGATAATTACAAAAAAACAAAAAATGCGAAAATGAAAAAGCAAACAGTTAATTATGGCATATCTGTTCTATGAAATATATAATTGCCAATATATCCATGAGTTATTTAAGGAACAAAAGCAAGCTGCAAAAATCAAAGTGCATAGTAATATATACATATATATGTATTTCATTTTTATATAAAAAGAAAATATGTACATACACATATAATATATAAAGTCTAAAAAATATCAAAGGATACACAGCAAACTTAATAGCTACCTCAGAAGAATGAAATGGAAAATGAAGGTGTAGTGGTTGATACATTGTGTCACCTTGGCCTAATGACTCCGCTGCTGGTGGGGGTCCTGCCCTGGGGCAAAATTGATTCTGCCCCCAGAGTGACTCAGCACAAACAGACCATATAAAGGGGCTGAGGAAGTA